GTGTGTGTGTGTGTGTGTGTTTGTATTTATATATATATATTATATATAGATAGATAGATAGATCTAGATATATTACTGCAAATAGTAGCACAAATACTTGTACGGCGCGAACAATAAAATAGACGGATTATACTATACTTGTCATATTCAAGAGCGAGTGAAGAGTTAGAATATCCCCAAAGGGGGTTAATAATTTATTCGGGTGACGAGTTAGAATAATCCCAAAGGGGGTTAATAATTTATTCGAGTTCTGACGTAGCACTAGGCAACGTTCTAAAACAAACACGCGGTAGAGCTTCGCAGTCAACCAAATCTGAAAGTCGGCTTTGTTAGAGTATACAATATGTCGATTCTGGAATATCAATTTGTCAATCCTTATGAGTATACCTCTCTAATCTCATCAACGAGACTTCAAGCTGCCGTAGAACCGGTCAATCATGCAAATGACTATAGTTAAAATCTAGAAGTGATACCAAACAACAATTTAAGCTGGGATCTATGTACGATCTATCTACCTATTACACAGTAACAGCAGACTCGTATCGAGGTGGACGGTTAGGGCCGTTGGACTTCTTATCAGCGTCAGCGGATAATATAGCTGGGGCGGCAGGCTGTCTCGCAAGACGTGAACGCCACTCACTCACGCGCTGGTTCAGTGGAGCACTCGAGACGGATACATTGTCGGCCATTGTGGTGTTAGCCTGGCTGGTGCTATACGAGGACGAATGCGGCATATTGTCGGCGTCTTTTCGATCCCTGGCCTGTTTGTAGCGGTAGTATGCGTACCCACCACCCGACACGGCAAACAGAAGTAGCAGTCCAACAACAACGCCAGCAATCACACCGGCGTTAGAACCCTTGTTTCCGTTTTCAGTTGAGGAAGTCTGTGGCTCCGATCCGGCGCTTGCTGCGTCAACGCTCACAAACGAATCTGGTATCACTGCCTTCTTTGGTCCTTCGGCCTTGTCAGTGTTCTCGACAGCAGTGGCAGTGTTTTCGACCTCAGTAGCGCCATCGTCCTCGCTGGCTTTACATGGTATCTGACAAGCGAGCTCCTCCACAATAGCACATGGTGTTGTACCGTTGTGGATAAACTGATTAGCGCATGCTCGCTCACGTGTGATGGATCCCATCCCACACTCACCCTGCGTGGCCTCGCACACAGTAAACTCGCTCCATACCTGGCACTCGCAAGTCTCTTCTGCGACGGGGCATTCCTGTGGATTGCAGGGGTTCTGGCGCATGACCAAACAGGCAGCATTCAACTCCTGCAGTGCGGCATCGGCGTGGCACACGCGCTCCTGTGCTTGCATGCCCCCCCCACACGAAGCTGTGCACTCTGCCATGGCCTCCCAGTCGGAGCAATAGCAGTTATCATCCTCTGCGGAACAGGGTTCTGCATTACAGCTCACTGTCTCTATGGTCTGACAGAGTCCCGACTCGTCATTATCATCGCTGAGAGAGTCCAGACATTCACGTTCACGCGACATCACACCACCGCCGCAGCTGACTGTGCATGCGTCCCAGGAGCCCCAGCGGTTGCAACGACAATCCTCCACTGTCGGAGGGACAACGGGTGCAGTATCTTCTGCGACTGGAGTTTTGGCTTTAACACTGAGCTCATCGCACCAGGCGACGCCTCCAGACACTTTGCGGATACCGCATTGTAAGGTCAGCGTTTTGATGGGACGGGGTGGCTCAATAGTTACGGGTACAAAGGACTTCCACGACCACGACTGTATTGATAGAAGATGTGGTAGGTGGAAATCAGATTTGAGCGCCGAAATATCCTGTCTTATGGTTGTGTATGATTGAGCGTACTTCGTGCCAGAGAACAGGCAAACACAGGCGCAGTTCGTATTAATTTGTATCAATGGTATATAGCTATCAATGTCACTTCGTCCTGTCCTGCGCCAGATTGGAATGCATATTAAACATTTCTCACCAACTTCGTGTTTGAAATATATACCTTGCATTGTCACTGAAAAGTACAAATAAAATATCAAACGCAAAAATGGTTGTTGCATACTCACACCGTCGTATACACCCGCAGACCTACTACAACAACAGACACCCACTAATCCATATTTACTATGTTCGCATTTTCTACAACCCCGGATCCATTGCATGTCGAATATACTTACCTCAATCTCCGAGGCCACCAAAGTGTAATCGTATGGGTCGTAGCTATTATCCTCATATTCAAGCTGCACCCACAGCGCAAAGTCTTCGTTGGAGTTGATCTCCTCTTCAAGTTCGTCATTGACCATGCCCCTGCCCGAAATTGTCAACGCTCGTGTGTCGCCGTCCATTTGCACTACCTGTTTCACGCCAGACCAGTCCACTGCCGGTCCCTCCAGTTGTGCACTATACTCGCCAATGGATTGCTCATTGGTAGTACGTGAGTAGCCATTACCTACGGATTCCCATGAGGAATCCTCGTTTTCAAAACTGGGATCAGAGAGAAGCTCCACCTCAGTCTGCGCACAAACAAACTGAGCGGTGGCGAATAGAACGGCCACGGAGCAACAATTGAAGTGCAACATATTGTTTGGAGTTTGTAGCTGATGTGTGATACTTTACTTAGTAAGGGTATAAATATGCTTTGCAAGTATGATGTGGCATAAGTTGGTTGTACTTTGCTTCTCCGCTCGATTCTCACGCCAAAACGATGCAAGAAGATCTGTGCGCAATTTGGTTAGATGTATGTTGCATATATACATTTTGATTTCGCACAAAGATAAGATAACAGTGCCGTCATTTCTACTGACTTTATTAAACAATTCGGCTCTGTTTGTTGCACTTCCTCTAGCTTGTGCCTAATTGTAAAGAACCATGGATTTCATTATGTATTCTAGACTTTTGGGGAATACAGCATGGCTGTACCAGTGACCAGAGTGAGAGCAATCAAGAAGGGGATTGGTATACATTTTTTATCAAAAATGTTATTGTAATAATTAAATACATAAAAGGTCACTATAAAATTTACTAGAAAAAGGTTGCTTGGCAAAGTATGTGAGATGCCGATATTACTGGTTTTTTGAAGACTTTGAAGCATATTAATTGGCCATCTCTTTACTTAATTGGTTTCAATTGGCCTACCAGTTTAGTTTTTCATTTTGACAGCTCCTTTCAATTTTTATATATAATTAAAAAACCAAAAAAAGAAATCTTTCAGACTTTCTCACAGACTCACTTCTCATCAGCTCAGACTCTCAGACTAAATATGAGTCTCAGTGTTTATAGTTTTTTTTGAATTACCAAAAACTTTCAAGTTACAAATCCTGATAAATATTTAGGATTTGGCTTCCAACTGCCAGTCTTCACAATTCATAAATAGAAATAATCGGCCACAATCTCCACTGATTCACTGACCGCTCTCTCAATTCCACCTATCGCTCTAAATGTGAAATGACAAGTTTTTTTTTGCCGTGATTCGAATGTATGTAAAGGACAAGCGTGCAGAGTTCTCCATCAGATATACTGCTGTGAGCAAACACAATCCCCGATCATTCGAGCTATTATATTATAAACTGCACAAGTCTTGTGAATATTTCGCTGGTGAACTTACACATAACGAGCTGCCAAAATAGTATTGTATTTGCTGGGGAAGCACTGAAAAAGGTGCCAGACACCGTAACCAAATCGACAGGGGCGTGAGATAGTTCATTTGTGGACAAATTACAAAATGAGGAAACCAAGTCTACGAGTAAGGAATTATTGTCAACATTGTGCTGCAATTTTGTGCTGCAATTTTGATGATCGATTATTTAATTGAACATCAATTTTCATTCGTATACAAATAAAGTCACAACTGCATAAATACCAATATACATACACACGCACAAACATTAATACATACACATTTCAATAT